AAAAATATTTAACAACAGAAAGAGGGGAACAAATAAGGCGATTAATTTGGGTTTTTTACAAATAAAAAAGAAGAGAAGGAAGAAGCTGGGAAAATTGAGTTGTTAGTAGGAAAAGCAAATGGTGTTTTTTATGAAGTAATCAAACCACAGAAACTTCCCTTCCCTTATGAATTAAAAACTATAATTAGCTGAAAATAATAATAATAAAAAAAAAACAATACAAGAAACATCCCAAAATGTAGAAAAGGCAGGTAGATGATAATTCATGAGATAGTAAAAGACCTGCATAGAATTTCAGAAGGGCTTGAAGCTGGAGTGGCGATTTCCTCTTCATTTCTGTCTGCGATGGAACCTCTCCTTTAAGTTAACGAATTTGACGATAATTAATTAAATTGGATTTCCCACATCCTGACCAGACCAAACAAACCAATCCCACCACCATCAGCAAGAAAATCAAATATCCTCGGATAGAAAAAAAAAACAAAAACAAAAAATTGATATAGACTATTCATCACTCTCTACTTCCTTCTAAAGCCACAGATAATGAAACACTCCATTCCTATGAAAAACAAAATGTTTCCTAGGGTAGACAAATGAAGTAGAATAGAACAGTAGTAATCAGTTGAAAATAAAGAAAGGAGGAGGCATGAGTGTGGATATTTTATGAGAATTGTGGAGTGAGTGGAAGAGAATAGTGGAAGATTGCTTGCTTACTCTTACAGTATTGTGGCGATAGTGAAAATGAAGGGGTGTGTGTCAGTGCACGTGAGAGGGGGGGTGGGTGGTTGAAGAAGAGGAAGAAGAAACAGGGAGAGGAGAAGGGGTTAGGGGGGAGATGTTACCAAAAGCAGTAGGGTTTTGGGTTTTATCATCTCCTTTTTTATTTTCTGTTTTTTTATAATATTAACTGTAATATCCTCCTTCTAGTTTGTGTCTGCTCTTTTTGTTTTTGTTTTTGTTTTTTTTTTTTTTTCTCTTTACTCGTAAAAACAAAAATAAAAAATATCTGCTGTTGCTCAAGTCTTTACCATATATCTTCATCATGCTACGCTGTCATCTAGGGGTTTTAGACCAGGAATCAAATGGGCCGATTTTAGGCCGGCCCAATTAATATTTTTGAGGGCCGAAAAAGATAGAACCTGTCAAGTTTAAGGGCTGAAAAAACTAAGTGATAACTGGGTTCCAGTGATAAGCCCAGACCAGCCCAACCCAACCCAACTCCCGCCAAGCAGAAGGCACCATCACCCATCACCTGCTCTTCTGATTGCGGTGCAATCTTTCCATTCTCTGGGGTGGTGCTTCATAGCAACTTGTCGGAGAAAGCTCGCAAGCAAGAATGGAAGACAGAACGGAAAATGGCTCAGCCTCAACATCGAAACGACAGTCTCTTAAAACCCAATCAATTTTCAACGGTTACCCCTCTTGGAAAAACAAGGTTGGTTTTTTTCTTGTTCTAGAATGAATGCTTTGAGTTTTTAGACTTGTCTAAATAAATAAACTAAAATTTTTGATTGTCAGCTGAGGGAAAACTGTTACAAAAGAGTGCGTGAGGACAGGACCCGATTGCTCTGGAAAATGAGGGTGCCCAATGCTAAATCTTTAGATAATAAGGTCATCTTCTCTTTCTTTTACCCCTTCTTCTTTGTTGCTTTTTTTATCTCATGAGATTCTTGATTTTTATCCCCTGTTTCCTGTTTTTGAGTTTAGGACATTATCAAGTATGCTCTCCAGGACATAGTGTCTGATGAACTGGAAAAAATTCAGAATTCGTCGTCGTCGTCGTCGTTACAGTTGAAAATTCCAACTCGTGCCCTTGAGGCGAATGATGATATGTTGTGGGAATATGATGGTCTTCATGATGCTTATCAAGGCGAGTGTGAAGAGATTTTGTTAGAAATGCAAAAGATCTTCTATGAAGATCTTAGGGATGAGACAACTAGAGAAGGTTAGTGTGTTTCTCTTACAAAAATTACTAGTTTCTAGAGGAAATTAAAAAAAAAACAAATAAATCTTGTCCTGCTTATATATATAGGAGTGGGTACGCCCAGGTTCTGTTGTCAGCATATATACAACTTGAATGTAAATGCAAAGTTAATTGCTTGCAGTTGTTATTGCACTTTCTTCATTTTTATGTTTTTCAACTTGTTTTTCTAATCTATCGCCTGAAAACACACGCGGGGAGTGTATTTGATTGTCAACTTAATTGCCAATCTGAATTTTGCATACCTTCAGTGTTGCATTTGCCCATGTTTTTATGTCTGTTTATGTGCTAAGGAGGTTCTAATCAATTGAATCATGTTTTTTGAGCTTAATTGCTTACTCTAACTCCATGCAGAACCAATAAACTATATTGAAACCTGGGAAGACAAAGAAGATGATTACTTGGCTCATGCTGTTTATGAGCACATGCAATTGAGTGATAAGGAGGTATGATAGCTTGCAGATATTTGTCTTATCAAGTCTTGGCTATATCTCTGATATGCTCGTAGATGCACAGAATACTCATCCTTGTAGCTGACATTAGCATTTGTAGGTTTGATTTTCTACTAGTCTCAATTATAATGCCATTTAGATGCATTTCATGCCCACAATTTTGGGTAAAATATTAGTGCATGCAAACAAACTTGTGGTTTAAGCCCACTAGATGTTATTTTCCACATCCCAGCTAGTGTATCCCATCCCAGCCTTGGGAACATTACCAAATAAATACAACCTGTTAGAGCTTGCTAGAATGGTTAACCAAGTCGATGAAACTAAAAAAGACTATTTGATTGAGTCAACTTAGTTCGCTTGAGATTCAAGGAGCCAATTAAAATCCCAAAGATTGATAGAACTGTTGCTTGTTCTTATGCCAAATGCAATAGTGGTTAAGTAAAACCAGAGGACAGATAGCGTGACAGAATGTGGAGATTGAGAAGCCCTAGGCTTTCTGCTTTGTGTATGAAGTATATCTTCTTATCCTCTCTGACTTCTCCTGGTGTTATTCATCTATATTCTTGTTGGAAATTAAGATTAGGACTGTGGAATCCTTCTTGCTAGAAATTATTTTTCTTCTCTTGTGCCACTGGGCATAACAGAAAATGCAGTTGTGATCAATAAAGCTTTTTTTGCTGCTGCTTTCATGCTAACCTAAAAGAAATGGAGTTTATAAAGCTTTCTGACATTGATGCTAGGTGGCCAAGGAGATCTGGTGTCCCATATGTAAGCAAGGAAAGTTGCAAGAGAACCATCAGCACATATATTGCACTCTCTGTGAACTTAAACTCAATAAAGGCGATGAGGTTTTCCATCTCAACTTCACTGATTTTTTTTTGGCATGTAATAAATTACCATGCAATTACACTTAAAAAGTTGGCATATAGTTTACTGCAATTGTACCTCATTTTAAGTATGACTTGAGCGTTCTCTAGAGCAAATTTTTGACAAACTCCCTTATTGCCTTCCGTGCAGAAGTTAAAAATTGAATTCCCAAATTTTTAGCCATCTGATGTTGGATGATTTTACCTACTCCAAACTTCTTTGTATTTTACTTTTACTGGTTTTGGTATCATTCCAGCCTCAACAAACTTTTCTTTCCATCTCAGTGTCTCAAACATCCCATTCACAAACCCACTCTTCCCATTTCTTTCCTTTTAGTACACTGTGGTATGCATTTTCTTTTTTTTTCTTTTTGGGAAAGGAGGTCCACAACCAAACATACAATGCATTAACTTAATCAAAGGTTGCATAGTTTACAAGTAGTTGAGATGAGGCTATTTAAGTGAATTATTATTGTCTAAATTGAGGGGAAAATATATTAAGGGTAGTAAATTTTGGTTAAGAGTATAACGAGTTACATGGTATCATTTCTAACTTGATTTCACTAAAAATATTAAAAAACTTAAAATGATCCCACAAAATTTACTTCTCTCTGTCATGCGCGCTTTTTTCTAAAGAATTAGTTCAGTGTTTTTTTTACTTAGTGTGTTTTTTAAGAACTTTGTCCTATAAAGGGACTTACTAAAATAAAAGTGGAACTTTTCTATCAGGTAGTGTTGATAGAATTCCTTCTCTTATTATATTGTTCTAGTGCCCAACCATTTTCTCATCAATTCCCAAGTTTCTTGCTCTTTTTCGCACTGAGCATGCAATTCTCTTGTAGCCCTTTTCCTTTCAGTATTTTTAGATTTGACCGAGCAAAACACGATTCACACATTCTTGCTTGTCTAATTCCTTGTATTTTGTACTCTGCTAGTTTGTTCATTTATGTATACATGTCATGTTAATATATAAGCATGAAAAAAATGAGAAGCCATTACGGACAACTATGAAAAAAATATCGTTCACTGCCTCTACTGTATTTTTCATTATTTAAATACTTTTATTATACGCATTTTAAGATGTAACTTTTCAAACAACTGATGGTTATTAATCGACTCTCCTGGGAAAAATTCCTGGCTTTGCCACCGACTGTGTTCTTACTACCATATTTCTCAACTCTTTCCTGCCTTATTTGTTTGTTTAGGAACTTGCGACTGATATTACCTGTCACGCCATTACTGATATGCCTGGACTCTGGTTTGTTGTTTCAGATTAATCTGGACGTGTTGCAGATCCGACTGGGAGGAGCCCACGAGGAACATCTTGACCGTGGCTGTAGATTGAAACCAAAGTTTCGCATTGAAACTAGATTTGGTTTAACTGCATTATTTATTGTTTGTCAGGATTGCAGCACCTTTGAGGTGGTTATATAGTTTGTTTTTTCTTTTTTCTTTTGTAATAATCACAGGAAGATGTCTAGTTGATGCATACAGCGCGTTCTTGCTTGTTTGACAAAACATCATGGACAATGGCGGTGTTGATTTTGCTTTGGAGCTATTGCATTTGGCTTTCTCAGAGATGTGGCTTGTGTATTATTACCTGGAAAGCTACTGAAAGAAGTTTTAAATCTTACAGTACATGAAGAAAGGAAAGGAAAGCAAAGAGAAACGGGGGGGCGGGGTTGCATGCATAAAATAAAAGTGTGAAATGTAGGGCTGAGTTATTGGATCAAAAATAATCATACAAAGCCAATATATCGTCGTTTGATATCGATTAACATATATGGCATCACTCAATATATCACGCTCTACCACTAAACGGGTAACCCATAAAAAAAAATATGATTGTAAAAAAGAATTAACACAAAAAGACCACTTCCATCCCACGCAAAATAGGCTTTGGCAACTAAATTCGACAGTCGTGTCGAAGGCCGACAACCCTACATGAAGAAGCATCCTAACTTTCAGGTGCTGTGTCAGCTTGAACATGATTTACAGCAGCCTGAATCAAGGGAGGGCCGGTGCGCATCTCAACCATTTAAAAGAAACCTCCCAAGCTTCCCTCTCCCATCAGCTTTATGTTCTCAAGTATCAATCAAATCGACAACTGCTGCGGATGTAAGAGTAAAAACACATCTGCCATAAGAGTTGAGCATTTCCACTTCTGTCCAGATCGAGTACTCGGAGCAGAATATTAATCACAGGGTTTCAGAAAAGCTCTTCTGAATTGAACTTGTTCCATGCTTCCTATTTTAACAGAAGAAACTCATGATGAGAGCAAGGCAATGAGATTGAGAGGCCAATACAAGTATTTTCACACATCACAGAGAGAGACCCGCAATGCTTTTCCTTTGCCACACAGAGATTGAAGAAATACCTTAAGCAAGTCAAACACTTTCTCAGCAACGTATTTTTGTTGAAGATTGGCTCCTTTTTGTTGCACTTTATCAGGATGAATGCATAAGGTTGCTTTTCTATATGCTTTCTTAACTGCTGCGCCAGTGATCAAATCGGTCAAGGAAACAGGCTGCCATCCACATTCAGGCCATAGCACCTGATCATTGCACAAACTATTTTAGAAACAGAGATGAAAACAATATTTAACTTTACAATGACCAACAATAAAGAAAGTGCTATAATTAACCAACAGCTAAAGATCACAGAAGTGATGATCACATACAGCTAAACATAATTATTCTGACGTTCGGAACTCATAACAAGTTTTATGGAAGAGCTCAACCTAGGATCTTCAAGGCTACATTACGGTCTTACCTTCATCTTTTTTAATTCACAAATTAACCAAAGAGAAACAACATATACAAATCAGTTTTCTTATTTTGACAAAATCAAAGGTGCATCTAGGATAAAACTCAGCACCTGAAAGTAGCATGTGCATTGTAAAGAAAGAAGTGAACTGGGGGAGCAGCCAGATCTGTCATCTTAATTGACAGATAAAGGAAAGGAAAGGAAGCAAAGAAAAAGGAATCCTCGTGGATGAGAAGATTTCGTGTTCATAAGCTCTTTCAAGGTTTCAGTTTCAATAAGATGGAAAATAATTTTAGGAAACACTGGCAAACTCACCAGAAATGAGGTGCTCCACAAATCTACAAGGACTATTATTTATTACTTCAAGAGCCTAAAGGTTCAAATAAGTTCTAAGATAAAAAGACAATGGACAGCTAGATGTTGAATAATACTACCATGCGATAAATTGCAGTAGCCAAAAAATTAAATCTGTTTAATATTGATGCACGAGATACCGGGTATGCTTTTTTTTTTTTTGGGACAAAAGATATCAATAAAGGATATGGAAAAACCCACTTAGCAAAGGTAATCCATAAATTATTCTCCACATAAGAATTATGCTGGATGTGATCATATAGGATCCAAAAAACAAACGCACATATTGTAGTGTTGATAGCAGTGCACGGAGATTCCCCTCTTTTCCTGCAGCCCAACGCTTGATCTCAACATCCAATGTTTCAGCAATCCTCTGAAATCAACGTAAAACAGTATCAGACATCTAACAATAAAAGCAATGAGAAAAGAAAGAAGAACAAGATGCAACTTGAAACATTTTTCACTCTCTTGAATACTGGAAGGAATGGAAGAAAAAAAGAAGCTAGGCTTCAATCAACAACATACTGTCTGTTAACTCTCTAAGAAATGAAAACTGTTACAATCAAATTCCAAGAAGACATAAACTTGTTTGGTGGGCTGAAACTTGTATTTACCATTGACATAAATGAAGAACCAACTGATACAGTGGAACTGGATTCAGCTTGGTTCACTTCTGGATTTGAGAACCATCAATGGACTATAGTTGGGAGTAAAACATCATTCTCATAATCACTTCTGGCTACCAATGTTGTCCAAGGCCAGAGCCTCCGTATGACACCCAAGTCCAGCATAATCACAATCTTAAGCAGTTCACAATAACAACAACCCTCTTTTGACTCAATTATATGGGTCAATGTACATTCAACAAGATATGTTTAGCTACTAACCACCAACCATTTTGGATATATCATGACTGACTTTTGTTGTAATTTTGCTTTCAAAAGATAACTTATAGATAGTTAGAGCCTACTAACAGCCAGCCCATAGTAGTTAAACCAAAACATTACCACAGTTTGACATGGTTATGTCTATGAAAATCCCACTCAAGCCAAATAAAAGCCTTAATGCTGCTGCATATAGCATGAGCAAAAACAGTATTGACTCTAAAGGAAAAGTCATTAAACTCCAAATCCAACCCCCCCCCCCCCCCCCCCAAATCCCCAGTTTTCAGCAAAGATTAAGACAATAGGAATAGAGACAATGCTAAAAGGCTGGGCCACTTACATGTCTCTCTGCTTGATCTCTCTGAGCTTGAAGGTCACGTTGATTCTTCTCGGCCAGTGCTTTTGCCTGAACATATAGGCTCAGTGATTAAAATCTGTGGAACTAATGTGCAGTAATAAACAAGCATCTGATGTAACTCTCAAAACTGTCAATAAAATCATGTCATGCAAAACATACAGCCCGCTCCTGAGTCCTCTGGTGGCGTTCCATTCGGGCTTTTCGCCTTTCTTCAGTTTCCCCTTCAACCTCTTGGAACTCTCCAGATGATCCAGTACCTCCTTTACAAAGCAGAAGTAGTTCAGCCAATTCACAACTAAAGAGAATCATCTTATCATGAATAAACATTCTCATGGGCAGCATAACTACCTCCAAAAATCGAAGTTAAATCATCGACAACATTTGTTGTTGAAGATGTTTTTCTCACGCTAGACGTAGCCCCAACAGATGTCCTTCTAACTGGTTCAGGCCCTCCCTTGTTCTGGCTGTCAGAGAAAGGATCCTGTAATATAGGTTCAGAAAATTAACCCACTGATACCACAACAAGTCAGTGAATGAATGAAAGCTTTTGGTCCTACCGAAGTGTTTGTCCTAGGTCTTTGTGCACTGGTTGTTCGAGTACTGAAGAATGATTCGAGATCATTTTCACTCTTTTGTTGATTTGCCCTGGCAGCAGCGGCGGCGGCGGCCCTCTCTCGAGCCTCTGCAGCAGCTCTTTCTACAGCAGCTCGTTCTGCTCTAAATCGAGCCCGGGAGCCTCTGCAGCAGCTCTTTCTACAGCAGCTCGTTCTGCTCTAAATCGAGCATCAGCTTCAGCCCTTGCAACAGCAGCTCTTTCCCGGGCTTCCCTCTCCCTAACTTCAGCATTTGCCCTTTCCCGGGCTTCTGCAGCAGCCCTTTCTGCCCTTTCTTTTGCCTCTGCTGCTGCCCTTTCACGTGCTTCGGCATGTGCTCTCTGCACAGCAGCCCTTTCTGCTCTTTCTCGAGCCCCGGCAGATATTTTTTCCACAGCAGACCTTTCAGCTTTCAGCCGAGCTTCGGTAGCTGCTCTTTCACGTGCCTCTCTAGTAGCCCTTTCCACTGCTTGTCTGCCCTTTTCCCTTTCTCTCTCAATCTCCCTTGCTCGCTCCCTCTCTCTTTCAAGCCTCCTTTGCTCTCTTTCTTTTTCCTCCCTTTCCCTCTCAATTTCACGAGCCCTCTCCCTCTCTTTCTCAAATCTTCTCTGCTCTCTCTCTTCCTCCTCCTTTTCCCTCTGTTGTCTCTCACGATCAAATCTCTCATGTCTTTCCTTTAATTCTCTCTGCTGAGCATCTTGCATATCTTTATCCAGCTGACCAGCTTCTTTGTTTCTAGCAGCCTTTAGATATTCCCTCTCCCTCATTTGGCGGAATTTAGCCTCTGCTTTATCCACGGCCTCCTTCATAGCAGCAGAAGCAGCAGAAGAGGAAGTTTTATCTGCATCATCACCAGGTGGAATGTCTGCAAATTCATTAACATTATTTTGAGTCCTTGCTGTTACAAAATCCTCAAGTTCATCAATTTGAGAAGTCACTGAATTCCTCGAAGCATGGTCTGGTCTAGTATTTTGAGAGTATGAAGTGGAATTTTGGAAAGAAGGATACTCATTGAACTTCTTTCTAGAGTTTGTGGAAGAAAAAGAGCCAAACTCTGACTTTGATATTCTTGGTGGTCTCGGAGGTGGGGGTCTTGAAGGCGGTAGTGCACTTGTGGGTTGAGTAAAAAGAGGGATTTCTGACACAGTAAGCCATACATCATCAGATGATTCAGAGACCTCTTCAGATCTGGGAGAGGAATTTATCTCATTAGCATTGATATCCACATATGAAGGAGGAGAGACATTTTGACCAAAAGATCTATGAAAATCTGTTGAAGCAGCAGGCATATCAAATATGGCTTCATGAGATTCCTGATAATCATCTGGTGTCTTCTTCTGTGAGTGGCCCACAGCATTCTCCAAGGGATATTTGTTAACTGATTCTTTACTCACAGAGGAATATGCACCACCTGAGCTTGATCTTGATCTTGTTCTTAAAGGGCTCTTATTCTCCCCTCCCTTGTTGATCTCAGGAGGCACAGATTTCCCAAGATCATCAAAGTGATCTAGGTCATCAAATACTGCCATATTTACAGATGAACTATCAATCTTAGTGTTTCCAGTGTTACTGATTTTACTAATTTCTTCCAATGGGTCTGTGAACAACCCCGATGATGAAGTTGGAGGGGTTGAAGTTGACTCTAGGACTACAAAGGGATCTTCCATCACACCAGGAACTGGCCTGGCTGAATTTGAAGATGGCTTTTGGAACTGACCAGACTCGGAAGTTGACCTGTGAAAAAATAGTATGGTGCTAAAATATTAATCAACTAATATTTATAACACAAACAAATAAACAGAAACAGATATGTCTCAAATTAATCAACATAAAATATGGATAAAAATTTTCTAACTAAACATGATTCACTACCAACATCAGTAGTTCTTTCCCTGAAGTGGTCTAAGCTATGGCTAGACTCCATAGGTTCAGAAACAAAAGGAAAAGGAATGATGACAACAGTAGGATGAAACAAAAGTGAAGACATGGGGTCTAATGCTGCATAAAAAACACATTGTTTCTTTTCATTTTGCAAGCATGATTACTCTCCAAAAAAAAGGGCACATTTGGAAACATAATACAGACATCTAACCAATATCTTGTTTCTTTGCATATATGTAATCTGACTCGTTTAAATCACTGAATAAAAGGATGGCAAGCCTGCTAACAAAAACCTCCTAAAAGAGAAACTTAAAACCAAAGGCAACATTTCATGGTTCCATATCATAGGCGCACCAGGGTGGGGGGTGGGGGAGTTAAAACAACAAGCACTCCTGATACTTCCAGCCACAGTGCAAGTGAAAAGATAATTTGGGCCTAGTACCACAGCATGCCTTTGTATTCAGTTACTACCAAGATGGTAAAGGGGGAGGAATGAAACCATCCCCAAAACCTAATTTTGCCTCCAAACTCAACATACTAGCAAATGCATCATGTATTAGTTATGTCATCACATATTCACTCTACAACTAGTTATAGTCTAATGAAATGCTAACGGATGCTATTGTAAAACTAGCCAATTCTCAATTTTTCTTCTTGTTTTTTCCCTTTGTCCCAACCAAAATGCTTTTCCACCAAATTCCCATAGCTTTGAAGTTGATTTGAGCCAATATTTTGCTTCCACGATGAAACTTGGTGAATGCAAGCATATAAAAAGGAATAAGACTGCAATGACTTTGGTTGGCAACTCAGCTTCTTAGAACATTAGCACATTATCATAACTTCTCCACAATCAGCTCAACCTTACAAGCATAGAATGAAAGTTGAATACTACTTATTTCTAAGACAACCATGCTGGATAAAAATTTGAACCAATTCTTTACGTAATTGCTAAACGAAAAACTTGATATAGTCCACACACAGTTTCATTTAAAAGTCTTGAGTGTCTTGAAGCAGCCCCACCACATCATGATTGTAAAATGCATCAAGGCATGGCATAACATCACATCGAATTCCCAACAGTATTGTTCCAACTCAAGAAATGCAAAACCACAGTTCTCTGTCACCCAATAACTATGCAAATCACCTAATATGCAAATTCAAACAGCGATGCCAATCTACATAATATAAGCTAATTTAGCAATCACTCTTGTCAAAATACAAAAACCGCAGCGACAACAACAGTAATGATAAAATCAGTACCGGTTAACACTAGGGGAGCTACTGCCACCAAAACCAGGAAGTAAATCATCAAAAGCCGTCGAATTCTTTTCCACTTTACGACTTTCTGTCTTCGATTCCGTCTCCTTTTTGCCTAAGTTCCCCAACAGATCATCAAACGGGGAACTCTCTCTCGCAGGCGGCCTTCGATGCTGCTTCGGTGGTGAACTGACTGAAGCAAACACATTATCAAACTTGGGAGCCGATGCAGAATCACCATCAGTAGACGAATTCTTCAACCCAGGCAATCCATCAAAAATATCTTCATCATAAACAGGCTTATCAAAAACCGGCAGCGACGCCGATTTGGAATTCTGATCCTTGAAAATGGAATCATAATCAAATGACGATGTAGTAGTGGAAGCTCCGCCACGTGATTCTGAATACTTCAGCGGGCCATCGAAGGCGTTGTTGAACAAGAGACTGTCGGTGCCGACGTGATCGTCGAAAATAGGAGCGGATTTGTTGGAGAAGGGGGATCTGATGTGAACGGAGCCACCGGATCCAAGGTTAAAATTGGTATTATCAATGTTTGTGTTCCGAGGTGGAGCCATGGGTGCCGATTTGCCTTGGGGTTTGTACCCGAAGTCGCGAGCTAACAGACCTGGAAAATCGTCCATCAATTTGGATAAGTTTTTTTCGTGCTGGTGGATCTGCGGAGATTTTGAATTTTTCTTTATAGATCTGAGAGAGAGCCGACGGAGGGGAGACGGAGAGCGGCTAAATGACAAGGAAGATCATGGAGGCACGGAGGTGGAGAGAAAAAGGCCACTGATCAATTACTTTGTATAAATAAAATCTAAAATGTGAAACAAATGAGGACGGGAGAGAGAAATGGGGAGGACGGGAGGCAGTTGGGAGATGGTGGTAGAAAGAGGACCAAATCGTGATTGGAATTTTCAGCTCTCTCTCCCTTTTTTCTCTGGCTTGTGTCCCTGTTCGAATTTTGGGGAAATTATTTCTTTTTCTTTTTTCTTTTCGTTTTGTACGTCGTCCTTTGTAAGTCATTTTTTGTTTTCATCTACGTACAGTATATTTTAAAAGTAAAAAAAAACATGCATGTATTAATTATTTTCATATATTAATATAAAAAATAAAAAATGTTGCCCATCACAAAACACTTCATATTTAAATATCTTGCTATATAAAATCTCCTAAACTATATAAAATCTCTAAAAAGTACTTGTTTTTATCAATTGGGTCCCTAAGAATTTAGATCAAAACGGAGGAAAATTAAGGATACGAGAGAACCCAAATAGTAAAATTGGTTGCGGGGTGCTCAATCATGAAATGATAAATAGCTGGGGGGTTAATCTAACATTTTCCCCTTCTTTTTTCTAGACCACCACACGAACAATAATCTAAAAACAACAAAGTTTAAGATTTACTTTCCGTTTTTCTTCTAATAAAATTTATGTTTTATTAAATTAGAAAAACACCAAAAGAGGTGAATGTTTTGATATGGAACAAGATTCATCGCACCGTGGTTGTACACATGGATTTTTACAGCGTGTAATAATTTTTTTACCTTTCACTTTTAGCGAAAATTAAGGAGCAGCCTAATCTTTTTATAAAGTTCAATTAGTATTATAAATTGTTTGGTGGTACATCGGTCTCCTCGAATTTTTTAGCATAGGAAAATAATTTAATTATTTAAAAAAATTAAATAAATTTGTTAACATAGATTTTTTAGTCTTTTTATTTTTTTCAAAACAATAAAATAACTAAAGTATTCTTAAAAGCTAAATTTACTAAACTATTTTTTTGGAGGTTTTTTTTATATATAATCAAGTACATTAAAAGACAATTTCATATTTTAATAAATATAATATTATTAAAAAAATAACTGACACATGTGTTGTTCCACCTGCGGATTGTTCTTCTCTTGATGATGGTCCAATCTTGACCGTGCCACCTAAAACATCAATTATCACAAATCAGTACATGTGTATTTTTGAATCACATTTGTCACCACACTTATTTCAAGAGTTCATATGTTCACATTTAAGTGTTTCACATTTTACATAATCATATCATGAAATTGTTACTAGCATAAGTCATTTCAGCCTAGGAGGCATATTGTAGAAATTTACAATGAAAACTAGTTCACTGCAGGCTGTCAATTTGGCAGCGAAAACTGGTTCGTTGCAGCCAACTCAATTTCGATAGCAAATGTTAATTTGCTGCAGCCGACACAGTTTCAGCAGCAAATCACAAATTCACTGCAGAACACGTCATTTGGCAAAGAATGTTAATTTGCTATAGACGACACAGTTTCAGCAACGAGTCACACTTTCACTGCAGAACACACAATTCAACAGTGAATGTTGATTGGCTGCAGACAACTTAGTTTCGGTAGCGAAGCACAATTTCACTACAGAACACCCAATTCGGCAGCTAATGTTAATTCGCTGCAGACAACACATTTTCGGCAGCAAATCACAATTTCGCTGCAGACAACACATTTTCAACAGCGAATCATAATTTCGCTGCAGACAACTCAGTTTCGACAGCGAATGTTAATTTGCTACACCGGCACAGTGTTGGCAGCAAATCACAATTTCGCTAAAGAACACTCAATTCGGTAGTAAATGTTAATTCGCTGCAGCCAATACAGTTTCGATAGCGAAGCACAATTTCACTGCAGAACACACAATTCGATAGCAAATGCTAATTCGCTGCAGCCGATACAATGTTGGCAGCTGACACGATGAAAAGATTGATATCTTCTCCCCAAGTGCAGGAGTGTTAAAGTAATAAATAACCCGGCAAGACCGAGGTCGAACCACAAGGAGGTTAATTGTACAAATTATAAACAACAACAATAGCAATAATAGCAATAATAACAATAACAACAACAATAACAATAATAATAACAACAACAACAACAACAATAATAATAAAAATAACAATAATAATACTAGTAGTAGTAATAATAATAAAAAAAGAGAAAGAGAAGAAGATGATGAAAACTTGGAGATGGAATATTAATGTAAGGATTAAACAGTGATAATAACAAATGTCAATGTTAGAGGATTCATGAATGGTATGTCAAACAAGTATAGTATAAACTCTTATTATTCAATTGAAAACCACACACAAAGAAGGTTCCAATCAGATTATAGATTGTTAACATGATTATATTAGTCATCTTATTCGATTAATGCTAATACTTGTAAATCTCGTCAAGCATTCATGATTATAACTTATGTTAACAACAAATCAAGTTTCTTTTATAGCTCAAGTGTCGGTTATACCATATAGTATGGGGTATGAAAGTGCCAAGCATTTGTTGTACCAAGTGTTATACACCATAAATCAAGATTAGTCATTTAACAAGCAAAGTATTAAAGAGTGAACAAGACAACAAATACAAAACATGTTAGTATCAAACATTAAAGTCCATATTAAGTTTACACTATACTTATTCTTACACTATTAGTGTAACCTTTTCACCTTAATATAATAAACTTAACTAAACATAATGAAAGAAATAAAAATAAATCAACAAAATAAGAACATAAATAAGATAAAAGTTAACTAAGTAAATGAAAGGAAATGAAAGGCATAATCTTGATATTAATGAAAGCAAAGCATAAACATTACTAAAAATACAAAGAGAGAAAGCTAGAACATGATCTTGATTTGGAGACCAAGATGTCCAAATGCATGGCAAATGCCTCCTTTTATAGGCCAAAATTGGAAACTATTGATTTGATGACTAATTGATGAGTAGGTGACCAACTTTTGACTTGATGACAATCTTTATCTTTTTTTGTGTGCCCAAAACGTTATTGATAATGTCAAAATTGGAACCACTTGAAACATGAAAGTTGTAGAAAATTATCTCAGCTTTTTTGTGTAAAAAATTCAGATCATTTTGACTTTTAGAACTCTAGATATGGCCAAAATACTAAACAGTGCTCGGGCTGGAGGACAGATTCAAAATTCTTTGTTGTTGCTCCAATTTGAACTTGAAAATGACCTTTTTAAATCTTGGGCTCTATATGAAAGTTGTAGGCCTATGTCTTACATTTTCATCCATATAAAGTAGACCTAAATCTGAGATCTACAGCTCTAGATATGATCCAATTACTGAACAGTGTTCCGATTTAAACTACACCGACATCTCTTTTCTAAGTTTGGCCATCTCTTTGTCTTTTCAATTTCAGCTCTTAAATTCATCAATCAATCCTTTCATTTATGTGATAGGCCTGCATTTAAAATGAACATTTATCATAAATTAAAGGTATCCTATATTATTACATATATTATTATAAAACATGCTTTAGTTAAGGAATTATTGATACTTCAAGTGCAAAATGATGATATAAGACCTTGATAAAAATACACTTTTAAGTATCAATCAGCAGCGAATCATAATTTTACTACAAAACACCCAATTCTATAGCAAATGCTAATTCACCGCAGCTGACATAGTTTTGGCAGCGAAGCATAATTTCGCTGCAGAACACACAATTCGACAGCGAATGCTAATTCGCTGCAGACAACTCAATTTTGGCAGTAAAGCATAATTTCACTGCAGAACACCCAATTTAGCAACAAATGTTAATTCACTATAGATGACACATTTTTAGTAGTGAATCACAACTTCGCTGCAGAACACACAATTCATCAGCGAATGCTAATTCGCTACAAACAACTCAATTTTGGCAGCAAATGTTAATTCGCTGCAGCTAACACAGTTTCGACAACGAATCATAAATTTGCTGCATAACACCTATTTTGGCATGAGACACAACACACATGCTGTAACAATCCCACCATATCAACTGTCACTAAGTTCTAGTAGAACACACACACACACACATTAAAACCATTAATTTCAGCTTATACTCTTTCAACAATTTCCAGCAGGACATATATATTGAAACCATTAATTTCAACACATAATCCTTTAATAAATTCCAACAGAACACACATGCATGCTGGCCAACTTCATAGTTAAGGACAACCCTCTACCATAATTTGTTATTTCAATTTTATTCATTTTTCTTTGTTAGATGTTCTAGGAATTAGTCTCATTTCTTTTCTGTTTCCTTATCCTCTTGGTTAATTTTAGTTTCCTTCACAGCTAGCTTAGGTCCTAAGTTAATTTTTTTATGGTCTTCTTCTTCATTTTTGATTTTGGGTCTTAAGGAGAAGAGGGAGGGAGTTTCATGACCCATACCTTTCGAATCTAACTAAGCTTGAGGAAGGTTAGATAGTATTCGTTCTCCTCTCCTACTGCTTCTCCTTCTTCTTCTTCCTCTCACATTTTCTAGTCCCCTTTTCCTTTCCCTCTAGGCAGCTGTCTGACACGACGAAAAAGTTGATGTCTTCTCCCAAGTGCAGGAGTGTCGAAGTAATAAATAACCCGACAAGACCGGGGTCGAACCACAGGGAG